CTCTGGGGTGCCCGCGGAAGTTCTTTGGTGGAAGAATGAGCATTTCCACGTGTGTTTGTACCTGGGGAGATGATTCCACCCTCTCCCTCTAGATGACAGCACAACACCAGCCTTGCTGTAAGGGATTGTTTCCTCGGTGCGTCTCAAAAGACTATTGTTATTGGCTGTCCTGCTTGATAACCCGGTTTTGAAGAGGTTGGGATTATTGTTGTAATCTCTTGCTCTGCTTCAGAACAAACTCTGCATACTTTGGGCAGCTGATAAAAAGAAAAAGCACCAGGCGTTTAAACATGTTCCTCTATGAAGATCTGTTTCTGCAGACACAAAACATGTTCTCACCTGTGGTAAATACCTCTGTCACAGGTAAAGCGCGAGCCCGGTGCTTCTTGACAAGCAAGATCCTGAACCCTCAGAGGCATCCTCCTTTCCAGCACCACATGAACGCGTTTCTCTGGAGACCACCGCGAAGGAGTACGTCTGTGCCAACAGAGTTCTTGCCAAATGAGCTCCGTGGTTTGGGTTTTGCATCCTTCCACAAAGAGACTGGTAAAGCCAGTGGTATGATGTCAGCTCCCCCCGCCTTGGGCTGCATCCTCTGCTGGGTAAATGCCTCTCCCTGGCCAGGGACAGCTCTCAAAAGCAGGCTCCCTTCTCTCACCGAGGCCGGTCGGGCTGAAGCGCCTCGTCCTGCTGCTCTGGGCTTTCCCACCCACCCAATTCTGCCACCCAGGACGGGGCTCTTGCTGACCCCTTCTCAAATGGCATTGGTTGCACCGAGGACAAGGTGGTCCCTCTCTGTTCCTTTGCAGCCAGCAAGGGCTTTGCCTGTCTGGGTTCTGTCCCTCAGAGCTGCTTTTTGTCTGTATGGAAGCCACTTTCCCGGGGTGCTGCTGCTTTCTGGGGAACTCCATGGGCATCAGTGAGTTTCAAACACTAAAGCGCGAGCGGAGCGGCAGGCACTTCTGCCCTGACACCCAGGAGATGCACCCACGTGCACCGTTCTCTATTTTGGACTTCCTTTGCTTGAACTTGGTACTGTAGAAAGAAGAAAAACATTGAAAAGTGAATGGAGAAGGTTCTTAGAAATACAGATAATTTCTTCTTGGGAAGAAAAGCCAGAAAAAAGAATACCCAAGCTCTTCTAAACCTTATTTAAGTGCTCTCTGTGCTTCTCCCCGGTGATCTTCCTCTCCCAGAGAAACAGGACAAGTTGAACTGTGAATCAGTAAGTGGATTACTAGTTATATATATACATATATTTTTAAATGGGTGGGCTTTTGTTAGCTTTTAAAAATGTTTCAGAGATGTGTGGGTATCCCAGTCACCGCCAAAAGTTTATGTTCTTGGAGCTGGAAGTACAAACAGGATTCCCTGTTGGGTACAAACAGGAAGAGGGGGAGGAACAACCAGGCGGAGCAGAGCTGAACAACTTTCTAACATGGCTTTATGCGTGGGTGGGAGTTTCCGTTCCGCTCCCTGGCTGCTCTCCTCGTTGCCCCAGTCCCGAGCAGCTCCGTGAGAGCCAGCTCCGTGAGAGCCAGCTCCGCTGCTTTGTTTCCGTTCCGCTCCCTGGCTGCTCTCCTCATTGCCCCAGTCCCGAGCAGCTCCGTGAGAGCCGGCTCCACTGCTTGTGTCGATCCACAGCAATGAAAATACAGGAAGCATCCAAACTGGTTATTAGTTGAGTTTACAAGGATAGCTCGGGGGTTTGAGGTTGGGGAATGGGGATGACATTAACTTTTTTTCTGCAGTTATGCTGGGATTTTGTGGAAGCCAGAAAATGGCCTTCAAGATAACGTTACCCTATTGATTAAATTCCTGCTTGCTGTTTAGGGTTTGCTTTCAAAATTGGTGGGTGCAGCTACAATAAAAAGTCTGGAGTGGATAATGTGGTGATTCAGTTTTTCTGGATATATATGTTGGTTTTAAGAACTAGCGATAGGCAGTGCTGTCAAAAAGTTTTATATCTGAATACTCTGACTTACTCAAATGAAAGTTGTACTTTTGAATAATTGCCATTTTACCTGTTCTTGGGCTGCACCAGCTGTTTAAAAGACCCACAGGTTGTGGGTGGGAACACAGGGGTAATTGTTTGTCCAAGCTGGAATTTTTGAAGTTTATCAGAAGAAAGCCATTAGCTTTCTTAACTTGAAAATTATTTCTGAGTGTATATATGTAGTATTTCCAAGGAAGAATGGTTGTAGCTTAGCACAAATAACAGGAAAAAGCAAAGTAAGAGAAGCCAGTGGTTCAAACAGAAGAAAAAAGACAACAAAATATAGTTGACCATTACTGAAATTCTGGTGAAACTATAAGGTGGTAGTGGGAGTAAAAAAAGGAACTTCTGCCCCTGAAGCACTAATACTTACCATAGTTGTCGATAAATAGAAATCCTCTGTTTTGAAACCTGCTGCTAAATCTCTTGCATCCCACTTGTGAAAGGGCAGCATGTGCTCAGGCAAGAGGCACGAGCCCTGGCTGGCAGCTCTGCTCTGGGGCGGTTCATCAGCTCAGATGAAACTGAGCTGTTGGAGGTTACTTGGAGCTGGAGCAAGTGTGGGACCTGGGAGTGGGACTTATATATTTGTTTGGCTCCCAGGAAGGGCACTTTTAAAGAATGGGAGGCTCTGACATGTTGCCTCGGCTTAAAGGGTGTGAAGGCCTGTGAGAAGTCGGGAAAGGCTGGAGCGAGAACCGGCTGGAGAAATCAGTGGTGATGAACCTGCATCTCACAGTGGGGGAAGATTCAAGAGACTGAGGTTGACAGAGGCTGCACTTCTGGGTGGTGCCAGGTTGGAGCGTCCCCTGGTCAGGAACCCTCAGGGAAGTCAAATCCCGGTACTGGCAGATCTGCTGAGCTTTGTGGCTTACTAGTTAGGTGTTGTGAGCTGCAGTGCTGTAAAGGGTAGCTAGACATATCCTTTCCAAAGCTGGTTTTAAATGATGCCCTGTTGCTTTGGACTAACTCATAGTTAAGCTGGAACAACCTTTATTTTCAATTGCAATATCTTTTTTGTTCTCCTCTAGAGCTAATCTTCAGGATTATATCAATTGCTATTCCCAAATCTCTTATTTTGTTCCACTTTGTTTCTGGTAAAACCAAAGACCCCAGTCAAGGTCTCCTAGAGCAATGTTATAATAAACACAACGGGAGCACATGATCCCTGCCCCAGTTTGGAATGATTCAAGGATTGAAGATTCCTGTTTGGTTCAAATGAAGTTTCTGTGCCTGTTCACTAGACCTGGCAGAAAACTCAGGAAAAAACAGGCTGGCAATAAATATAAAAACCTAAGAAAGCTCTGAACTACCAGGATGTGAAAATAAAAGAGACTTTCCAAGTGATAGGTGACGGCATCCCAGCTTTTTCACTTGCAGTTGGCCTCTATTTTGAGTTTAGAGTCACGGGGCTCAGCCACGCTCCAGCCAGGCACGGCTGGAATTCACAACGCCCGTCTGTCCAACGTGGGTGCTGTTCCCAGCCCTGGTTCAGGGGAAAGGACAGACTTGCAGGAAAGGGCTGCGAGTAGTGGGGAGGATGGCACTGGCCACCTTATGGACATACAAAATAAAAGCTCTTAGGACATCAGATAACACAAGTTCACCATCATAAAAACATGACCATGTGCTGAAAGTTTGTTCTCAGCTGATTTAGGCTAAACGTTGTGGACGGTAAAAACGACACACAGATCCAGGTCTAACAAAGAACCAGAACTCAGCTCTGTAGCTTTTATTTCCATGAATACTGGAAGCATTAAAAAACCCCAGCGAACAGAACAGAAACTCTTTTACACTGTATAACACCTCTCGTTCTCCCAGGCCTGGGGGATTTTGCCGGCTGTATCTACACAGCAGCAGAAACACACCCACCGGAACAAAAGCCTCTGGGTCTCTGTGTAGGAAGTACTTGCTCAGGACAAAAGCCTCCTCTAACAAAAATGTCCCTCTGAATTGTGAGGGCGAGCTCTCTCAAAGGCGCTGAAGCGCTGGGGTTCGCAGCGTCTCTTACCATGTTTGCAGCAGAAATGAGCACCCCAAAGGGCACATGAAAAATGTCTGCGTAACCGCCTGCGCCTGGCGGATGGGAGCTCAGTTTTTCAGGTCTCAGCAACGCATGGAATTGTTTCCCTGCTTGGCTCTTCGCCTCTCTATGAGGTAAATCATCAGCCTGCTCAATCTGTAGATGGGATTGAGCAATCATCTCCGCTTAAAATCCGTCGTGAAGCAAATGCTGCTGCGCTCTCCCCCTTCTGTGGGTTACCCCTGCACTGCAAACTCCTCGCTGCCTGTCATCGGTGGTGTGGTAGCCCTCGGGAGCTTCTGCTGTGGAAAACATTGTGTGAAATCAGAGCAATCGGAATTATCCCTGCCCTAAGGATCCTGCAGTGTCTTGCTCTCCCTTTTTTTTTGCAATCAATCTTCATGTTTCTTTTTCCTGATCTGAAGTTGGGCTGAGCAGTTACAGTCACCGCAGTCATTTAATGGAGTTGGATGTTCACAGCACCTTGCTGCTGAGCCCAGGGCGATGTTCCTCGCGCTCCTGGCAGTAATAATCTCATTTTGGGTACTACCCTCAAGTAGATATTAGCAGATATTGAAAATCCAACTTACGTGACTAAAAGCAGTGTCTACCTTGCAAGTGCATCTTGGACCATGGCCCTTGGTGGACTGTGTCCATGAGATACCGGAGGCAGGCAGCTGGCAAGGCAGCCTCACGCCGTGTGAAATACACGCTTCTGTATTTGTAGGGGATTATAAAAACAGCTCTTTAAGGTTAGCGTCCAGGTTTGCTGCTGCTTAGCACATGAACTCCAAAGACCTTTTCTCTCTTTGGCTACCTTTGTTATTATTTAATTTTTGTGGTTTTCTCTCCCTAAGGAAAAACGAGGGCTGTGGAGTCTGGTGTCCCATAGTTTTGCTGAAAGATTTTTTGAGGGTCTCAGGAAAACATACCAAGGTGACAGAGACAGCGAGCTCTTGAATGAGTAACAACCACCTAGACCTAATTAGAAGTTTGTAGTTTTAACGGATAATCAAATGCTGGATTCTTATAAGAGACTAAGTGTGTACCATACTGCTCACTCTGAGGCTTTTTACATGCCTTGCACAGACATACAGACAAAACAATTGTGGAAATGAGAAAGAGTCCACTCGCTGCGCTCAGAGCGGCGAAGACAGACTTGTAGCTGAGTTTTGTTTTAAATCTGGTGCACGAATTACCTAGAATTCCCTGACTCGCTGTTTGGCTTGACCCTGCTTTGTTGGAAGCAGTCACGCAAATGTTGTAAGTGGTGTATGGTGAGAGATTGTAGAGAGTGTACTGCCTTGCTGTGGAATAAATATTGTCCAGGTCAAGCCGTCTCTCCTCGTTGCCTTGGGCGTGAAGCATCAGCTTATAGGTGTGAACAACTGAATTCGGGGCGCACCAGCGTATCTGCGCAGAGCTGTCTGTAACTTCAGACACTTCTCGGAGCCTCGGCGGATCTGGAACCTCATCTTCCCTTGACATGCCAGGACATAAACATGGGGATGCACTCTGAAGTTCACTGCACGGCTTCTGAAGGTGCCTGCAGGGGTTGTAGTCGCAGGAGGTGTATGCCAGTTGCACCGGGGTTTCTGTCGAGTGTTCATCGTAATCGTAGTCACCTACGTAGTGTATCAGTGATCTGGTGGGTGCAGGCTCTGACCGCGTGGAGTTCAGCGGGGGTAGGCTCGTCTGCGGTGTACCTTCCGCGCTGTGGGTGGCAAAGGAGGGGATATAATGGTCAGCGGTGTCAGGGTGCCCTGTTGCTCTGGTAGAATAATCACTGGTGGGCTGGTTGAACAGGCCTTCCTGGGGAAACGTCGCTTGGGTCGTGCTGAGCTCTCTCTTCAGCTGAACTGTTTGACTCGTGGAGCCATAATCCGAAGGGTGACTATGGAGCTTTTCGAGAAAAGCCGAGGAAGTGGTTATGGATGCGAAGGAAGGGGGATTGCTCATGGATCCGGAGACTGCCTCCTCCTCGGGGAAGGAACTGCTGGCCATTGCGAGCATCGGCTCAGTCGGGTTGGCTGCAGTGGTGCTCATTACATTCCTCTCAATTAGGGAGCTGGTGTAAGCATCTTTGGTTTGCAGAGCAGAGTCCGTTGTTGTTACTACCGGCGTGGCATCATAACTGGTAAGGCTGAAAGCATCGTGTTCGGGAGAGGGTGCGTCCGCGTCGGGCAGCGTAACGTTTCTCTCGGACTGGCATTTGTCGTAGAGCTCCAGCAGTGAAAAAGATGGTGAAGGTCTGTCCCAATCTTCCTGGGATGCGTTGCAAGAAGTCTCCCAAGCCCTGCAGAGGGGACAAGTTAGAATATAGAAGATGCACAAGAACATTACAGGCTCCTGCAAGGCTGCTTGGATTGGAATCGACAACCTGCTGTACAAAACAGTCTTTATATTAAAGACGTGAAAGCTAGCCCAAAGCTAGGTTGTCTTAATGACGCTCCCGTGCTTGGCAGATGGCTTTCCACAGCACTGGGAACTTCACTGACTGCCTTTTTGGGTTTGTAAGGTGCGGCAATATCTTATAGAATTATAGAATGGTTTGGGTTGGAAGGGACCTTAAAGATCATCTAGTTCCAACCCCCCTGCCATGGGCAGGGACACCTTCCACTAGACCAGGTTGCTCAGAGCTTCATACAGCCTGGCCTTGGACACTTCCAGGGATGGGGCATCCACAACATCTCTGGGCAATCATCTTTTGCCTGAGAGGAAGCATCCTTCGGTACAAGGACTGTTAACCTTAGCAAGCCTGTCGGGGTCCGACCTTAATGCCACCCCAGGAGGGGCACGCATGCAGAGAGATGTGACAGCCTCCCCAGGATCCTGAAGTCAGTGGTTTGTGCAGCTGGAGCTGTGCTGACAGAGAGGTGCTTTCCAATTCCCGAGCTCTCGAGTTCTTTCTTTACTCAGACTTTGCATGTTTTTGTAAAGAATGCAGCTGCTAAACCCATCCTGATGAGTAACAATCTAATTTTAACAATCTACTTCCCGGCTCTCTTCACTATGCTGACAAATCCCCTTGGTGGCCGTGCAAAAGGAAGACAGATCATACATATGCAAAGCATTTCTTTTAACTGCAGCTTATTGTAAAACTGTAGGAGAGCATGGAAACAATAGGTGACAAACGGGGCTATTTTCAAGGGGTTTTGTTGTCTGCCTGTGCTGATCTAGGCTTTGGGAATGCAAGGGCAAGGTGCAAATTATTTGCTAAGTATCTTGCAAAGTCTTGTCTTCTGCTCCCACTGCTGGCTGTCAAGACCACCAAGCCAGCTCATTTTATATCTCCAGTTAATACAAAAATATGAACCGAAATAGAGAAAATAAGCTATTCTTACCTTAAAGTATGCAAGGTAAGAACTTTATACTGTTTTGCATGTGCCCATCGCATTTGTCCACATTCAAGTATAATTCAGCCATGCTTTGTCCCTAAGGGAGACTTTATTTTGCACTTCTACGTCTTGTGGAAGGGAAGAGCACACAAGGAATTTAAATAACTTAGATGGCAGTGAATGTTTGGTCCCCAGACAGCTCACACATTTAAGTTGTGTCTTCCGAGCGTTGCTTTCATCTCCCTGAAGTCACTTACTTTTGCAGCACCACTTTCTTGGGCTTGGAGAGCAGCCAGGAGAGCTGGCAGTCGCACAGCAGAGGATTTCCGTACAAGTTGATGGTGATGCTATCCGAAGAAGTGATGTTCCAGGGATTAAAGGAACTCAGGTTACAGCTACAAGATGACAAATGCAATAATTAGCAAACGCTGAGCTACCTTCCATGCTTGGTATAGCAGCGCGGAAGGCACAAAGCAGCTTTCCCAGTTCCCTTGGAAGTGGCCAGTTGCACACACCACCGTGCGGCACTTCAAAGTGCAGGCTAATAGCTGTCCACCTCTCTAACTTGCACAGCGTAGCTGCTGTGTGTGAAAGCAGAACAAGTGTCCCAAGGGGGTAACACCTCCAGAGATGGCAGCTGGGAGGGAAGCGAGGTAGCATTTGGCATGGGTCTTGGGTGAAAGGTGCACCCACTATCTGCCATCATGCCTTCAGCTACACTTGTACCATTTCTCTAGTTTCTGCCTCAGTCTGCTTGTAATGGCTTGACTTTCCCTATGCCAATCATCCTCTCGTGTTAATTGCCTCTCTAATGACATATACTCTCACCTACTAAAGTCAACTGACTAACACAGGAAGGCCCTGCCCGACTTCATTGTTATGCTCTCCCGGACCTCTTTGCATGAGTGCTCCGAAGATGCTACCTTTTGTCTATGACTTTATCTGCTACACTCTTGTCTTTCAAGTTTGGGTCATGATTTTCAGAACTTGGAGCTGGTGCTCCTGCAGGTATTGTGAAGTGGGGTGTAACGTTAGTGTGGCAGTCTAGGGGGCATGGAATCCCTTGTTTGGTTTTTTTTTTTTTTCCTGCTTAAATGGATTTATTTTCCTGAAACTGGTTCCTAGAGCATAGGATTTATTTTCTGCTTATAATCTGGGCCTATATATTACAGAAGTCTCTTAAGTTGCTTTCCAAATCTTTTCCTTTACGCTGTTCTGTGGGTAGTTTACCCACTCTGATTTTGATAAATCACTTTCAGACTTTTGTTTCCCTCAGTATTTCATCAGGTGTGTGACAACCAAGTACATCACACTGAGGTGTTACCTCTAGAGAAAGGACTAAACTGTTGTTTTTACCAATGAACAGTTCTCCTGCTCTATCAGGTCTCTACATCACGGGCTTTACATGGCACATCTGAGCATTAGACAGGGTGTTTCTCCATGGCAAGGCCATACCTCCTACAAGGTATCAGGTCTCTACATCACGGGCTTTACGTGGCACATCTGAGCATAAGACAGGGTGTTTCTCCGTGGCAAGGCCATACCTCCTTCCTAAACGTTTGATAACAAGCAAATTTTGCATAAAAATCCGCTCCCACTTCCCATAAAAACAGCTCCCAGGCACCATGGTGCTGCGAGGCAAAGGCAATATTGTGCATGGAAGAACAAAAAAGAACACAACTCACTTCTCAAAGGAGAGATGGCTCAGATGAGGAGCACTGGCAAACACCTCTGTCCTCACGAAACCCAGCGAGCGGGAGTCTTGACAGTTCAGCTCTCGGAGACCAGGCATGGTCTTGAAGAAGTCGGTATCAAGGCTTCTTAATCGTGACATCTTTGTCAGGTGGAGTGATCTGAGGTTGGGCAAGTCTCTAGTCCACTCTGGCTGAACTGAAGCAGAAAAAAAATTTATACCTGTTGCCTAAACAGAGAATTCCTGTGGATGTCTGCCTAGGAGAAAAGTGTTGAAATCATGGAGGTACAAAACATCTCTGCGCTGGCTGAACTGAAGCAGAAAAAAAAATTTATACCTGTTGCCACAGAGAATTCCTGTGGATTTCTGCCTAGGAGAAAAGTTTTGAAATCATAGAGGTACAAAACATCTCTGCAGTCTTCTCTTTGGGCAAGGAATAGAACAAAAATCAATACCCCGGTGTATTAATACCCATGCAGTCACATTTTTGTAGTATCACCTGCAGGTCATGTAGTCGTAGGGCAGAGGAAAAGAAGGGATGATAGAAGGGCAATAAAGCTGATAAGAGATATGGAATAGGTTTCCTATTAGGTGAGATTAACTGAACAAGGATTTCCCTGTGCAGAGGAGTGGTGGGTGGGGGGAGATTAGAGAGGTCTGCAAGGTCCTGCCTAGTGTGAGAAAGGGAAATAACTTCTCCTAGCTCGGGAAAAAGAGAGCTGAGAGGCATGGAACTGAAAGAATAGGTCTTGGATGAAAGTGCCTTTCCGTCCCATGACTGAGTGGTGTAACTCCGTACCACAGGATAGGTGAGGCAAAGTCACGGAGAAAATTTGGTGGTGTTAAATGTGAGCGGAGGTGAAACCTCCAGCTTGAGGAGCCCGAAGGCCCTGGCTCTGAGGGCAGCTGGGCAAGGCATCTAACAGCACTGCAGTTAGAAACGGAGGCTGACGCTGACATGGGAGGCAGACCAAGGAAAATCCGGCTGCCAATTGCTCAGGGCAGGGATTGTCTCCCTGTGCGGAAGTTTTGGGGAAGGATTTGGCTGCGGTTGACACAAAAAGCCTCTCTCTGTGCTGCGTCAACGCAGCGGTACAAAGCTAAGTGTAATTGTGGTGAGACAAAACGATGTCAGCAGTGCCTCTGGAAAGAGAAATGAACTTCCTCCTGCGTGTCCCACAGCTAATCTCAGGGCTGACGGTGGAATTAGGATAGAGGTGAGGGGCTACAGTGGGACAAATAGTCCCATTTGGTGGTGTCCGTTCTCTGCCCTTCCTGCGGGAGGCTGGACTGCGGGAGGGTTTGCCCCAGGAGTTGTATCCCAGCTGGAGGGTGCATCGCGGGCTTGGACCAGCCTTTTGGAGCTTTCAGCGGGGGGTGTGCTCTCTCACCCCGGGTTCGGCCAGGATGGGAGCCATCGTCCCAGTGAGGCTTCTGCTCCCCCCAGCCCGACCAAACCCCGTGTCTAAGTGGAAAATCCAGAAACTTACTTTTCTCGAGAAAGGTCCCGCTCAGATCCAGCATGTTGATGGTGTTTCCAGGCCTGTTTGTGGCCTCACTGGGGGATGTGCTGCTGGCAAAAGCAGCCTCCCTAATCCCTCTGCTGTCACCTTGCCCGAGCAGCGTGGCAGAGAGGTTCAGGAACTGTAGCTGAGGGTAGCAGGAAAAAGCCAGCGGCTGGATGTCAAGCAGCGGATTTCCTGCCAGGGACAACCACCTGAGGTTTGGCAGGGCAGAGCTGTGGCACGATGGCACAGACGACAGGTAATTAAAGCTTAAGTCCAGGGAGAGGAGACTGCTGAGGGCTTCAGACCCCCACCTCACTGCCTGGAGTTGGTTATGCCTCAGTGAGAGGATGCGCAGCCGCGGGAGGTTTGCTATCTCCGTGCCGTTCACCTCTTCCAAGAGGTTGTTGCTGAGATCCAAGGTCTCCAGGGCCTCCGGAAGGCAGACAGGGAAAGCTGTCAGGCTGCTGTTGGTCAGCTGCAGGGTGATCCAGGTCCTGTTCTTCAGATCCTCGCAGGACATGCTGGTGAGATTAACGTTCTCCCAAGATTCTTCCTGAGCCAGCTGGAAAAAGGTGGTGACGTCCCTGGATGCCGCAGGTTCTGCTCTGCTCACCGGGCCTGATGCTGTGCTCCCCACCAGCAGCGAGAGGATGAGCAAGCTTGAAAGCATCCTTCTCCCAAGTGGCTTGCAATCAACTTGCAAGATTTGTTTCTGTTTCAGGGAGGGGAAAACAAAACATCAGCATTAAGAGCTAAATTACATCCCTCCAGGCAGCTACAAGTGAAACATCTGTGAGTCCTTTCCTAGCGCATCCAGACAGCGGAAGTGATAATTAATGTCTCTTCTGTAATTAAGCCTAAGTAAGCATGAACCCTTGGGGACAGAAGTAGCGGTCTCAGTCTAAGCATACCCAGTTTTCCATGCAGAAAGCAGCTGAGTTGTGCCTGGTTCCCACACCAGAACCCTCCGCGCCAGCGTGGCACCCAGGACCGCAGCAGCGGGGAGGTGGGCTCCCCGCTCCCCAGGGAGCCAGTGCACTCCAGTATGAAAATACCAGTTGGTCCCTTACTGGGCAAGCTGCAGGAGACGGGACTCGACTTTTATACACCCGATTGTGTATTGCTCTGCGCAGCGCTGTCCTGCTGCACAGTGTCCAGTTTGGCCAGCCCAGTTCTTTACTGGGCTGATACCCAAGCAACAGGGTCAGGTGTGACCGTGGCGAGGGTTTTTTTTTGTCTGTACAAAGCAAATGTGTGGATCCATGGTATCCACTCCAGCTGCCGGGGAAAGGAAAAACTCCTGAAAATGCAGCTCCTGAACCACATTTCAGTCAACACGGGCAGAAACAAGCGCGTGCTCCTGGATCGGGGCCCCAAAGGCCTGGCTACCAGGCAGCGCGTTACTCAGCATTAGTTCCCTCCTCGTCCCACCCCAGCTTTGTCTTCATCACTGAAAAAAATAAATAAAAACTCGTAAATGTACTTGTCCGAGGCTGCGCAGGTAATCTGTGCCCGAGGGTGGAATTAACCGGTACCCAAAACTAGTGCTTTTCATACCGAGCTGCCAGGCATCATAACCATCATTCCTCATCCAAAAACATACTGCAGTGTAGGGGCTGACTGAAGCCCCATGCGCTATGAAATATCTGAAAGTTAACAGCGACTTGCTGTTCCCTGAATGGTGCCAGGGCTTGCCCAGACCATCCTCTCTTCCTGCCATCCCAGGTTTTAAGTAAGGACCAGCAAAACAGTGGAATTTGGTTGCCTGTGTCCTTTTTGTCACCTGGAACCGGGCAAGAGCTGAGCAGCCTCAGGGTCTCCTGGGCACTGGAGCTGCTGGCGGAGGATGGGAGGAGCGGGACTGCTGGATCCCGAGTTGGGATTTAACGCGCGTCCCCGGCTCTAAACCGCATCCGCTTGCACGTACCTGTCCCGAAGCGCTGCTGCCCCGCGGCTGCGCTGTGCGCGGCTCGGCTGCCGGGCCGGGCTTTTATCCGCGGGGTGACTCAGCCCGGGGCGTGAAGGCAGCGCTGGTTTGAAGTCTGCTCTGTTCCCAGCCTGCCCTGCTCGCGGCTCCCCCGCATCCAGCTCTCCCTGCCTGCAGAGGGGGTGGCTCCGGGCAGCTTTCCCTGCTCCTCTGGCCCTGGCAGGAGGTGGGTGGGAGGGCTCGTATTTCCCAGCGCTCGGGCAGGGCTGCTCCGGCTGCCTTTGTCTGAGCAGAGGGGGAGAGGGAAGAGCTCGGTGCCGCACTCCCAGTTCTCACGTCTCCCACTGGCCGCGGGGAGAGGAGAGGAATTAGTGTGTTGCTGTGCTGGCAGGTCGCGCTGATGTGCAGCGGAGCCTCCGTCTGCTGACCGGGGCTTTGGTCGCTCTCTAAGGCTTCAAGTGGTTTTATTCCCGAGGCTCTCGCGCTTGGGAGTAGGTCCTGGAAGTGTTCACGCAGGACAGATGACTTCTCTAAGGAGGCCCTTGGGAAATGTGGGAAGCGCAGCTCCCACCTGCCGCTGCTGCGGAGAGGAACTCTCCCAGCTGATGGAGAGCAGGCCTGCGGCCTCTCCGGCTGCGCGTGATGGACCTGGGAGGCTTCTCCCGGTCCCCTTGGGCGTGGGTTGAGTTCTCTGCTCTGCATCTGCCGTGCTGCGTGGCTTGGGAGGATTCCCAGTCAGCTCCTTCTCTCATCCTCTGCCAGATAAATAAGACTGACGATGCAAAACGTCTCCCACCAAGGGACCTGCCCTGAGCTGGGTTTCTCAGCATTCCCACAACTCAAATAATTGAATTATTTGGTCAAGAGCTGAGAGTAAAACATGAACTGGAAAGGGATGAATTGATAGAGATTGTTCCAGAGCAAAAGGGTGAAGGTTCAGTTGCTACTGTAAGACAATAATTAAAATTTCCAGGGAGAACAGTAATCAGTGCTTTTCATTTGTCAGGACAACAGAACAGATCCATGACATCCAACACAGACCTATACGCTTTGGTGCTAAAGTGCAGATAAAGGTCTTGCTTTCCCAAAAACATTGAGTCTGCATGTACACAGACCTTATCTGTCTGACCATGTCATTCATTATCTGTGTGGGGAGAGAGCCTTGAAAAACACCAGAACATCCACAGAACAAGATACCCTCTTTTAGTAGGACTCCGGAGCCATTGCGGTTCCCTTGGAGGCTGGGGAGATGTACACATTGTTCCCCTGTGGAATGGCTCTAAGGCAAGACAAATAGTTTCCTAAATGAGTGGCTAATCCCACAGATTAAAGCTCAGGGCAGTGTGCAGGCCCCGCACGTGTGTCCTAACAGGTACCTTCTCAGATCTGCACTCCCTGGGGTTCAAAGGGCAAACTGGAGCAGGTTAAAACAATCTGAAGAATTCGGTATGGTAGGAGGAAAGTCCAGCTCCAGGCAGGCGGGTGGGGACCCTGCCTTCCCTCTGCCTTTGCAGACGTGCTGGCTGCAAAGCTCCTCTTCCAGAGGCTGGGGAGCAGGGAGGGGGCTTGCTCTGCCTTGGGCTATGAAATACCATATATATAAATACATATCCCCGTGTTGTGGCTGCTGCCGTTAGCGCACTGTTTATGGACAGGGAATTTTCATTGCTTATTTTATTGGTTTTAATCTCTTAAAACAATACTCTGTGAAAGTGGGTGAGCCAAATGCTGCCTTACTTTTAACATGTCCAACCGTTCTGACTTCAGTTTGGAGACTGAGACAAGCAGCCTCGTGGGACTGGAAAGCCATCCCAGCAAGCGGGCCGCTCATCCCAGTGAAGGTGGAAGGGAGGTGGAGTCTTTGCCCAGCGACGCTTGATTTCTGAGCGATGCAGAGAACCTCTTGCCAGAAGCAGAGCATCCTTGGAAAATCAGCTTTTATTATTTTTATTTTCCACTTCTGCTTTTTGGATGCCCGTTTTTTCAGGCAGGCATTGTATTCTCCCAGCAAACTCTAATCGGCTGGGATTATGTCTCAAACAGCCGCCCAGGTATTGGTGAAGGTTTCGCAGGGCAGGCAGCAGCCCTCTCTCAGCAGTTTCTTCAGGTTATTCTCCTTTTTTTGTACTTCTCCCCGAGTTTCGGTGGCATCCTGGGGGAACGTTTAGTAAAGGCGGGCATTTTTGGCAGCCTTTTCACGCAGATGATGCACAAAGAGCTGAACCAGACGCACCCACACCCCCCCCAACCCCCCGGGGGGGCTGATTCCGTGCTGCCACACAACACAACCCCGCAGCCTGCAGGCATGCTGGGGGTGAGCCCTGCATTCCTTAGTGACACGGAGATAAGCAGAGCACGGGGAGAGCAGAAGGCGAGGATGGTACCAGGCTGTAAAGTTTGAGAGATGAATGTTTCTCGCTGGCCGTGATCCAAGTGATGGTTAAGAATGAAAATATCCTGAAAAAAAAAGGTGGAGAATGGCTTTTAAAGCCAACAAAAGAAGTATTTTGCAGGTCAGTTCACAGAGCAAGCGCAAGCAAGTTCTGTTTCCTACAGAGAACAGGAAGAGAATGCAAGAACAGGAGTTTTTAGCCTCAGGTTTCAGGAAAATCTAGGGAGTATGCGTGTTGCCTGCTGCAGTATCGCACGCTGCAGGCAGCCGCGAGATCCCCTGCGGAACCTGTGAGTAGGACAGCCCGCAGCCATCTGACACGGGTAGTCTTCTACCCTGACCTGCCTTTGGTCTAGTGAAGCACCACGTACAGAATAGGGTTGCCGCTGAGCCGAAGTATGATTTTCCTAAAGGTTTTTGTTTTCATCTAAACAACATTCCTGTCCAGGATTTTGTGTCTGCATTGCGAAATTGCAGGGCAGCCGCCCTTGTTCTGCTTTTGCTCTCTCTGTAAAAAGTCTCTCACGCCTGACACCGCGCAGTTAATCACTTGGTTAGGAGACTAATCGTATGTCTAAACCAGGGGGTATGCACACGGGAAAGCCAAGTTTAACCCGACACCGGCTGAGTAAGGGAGGGTGCGGTACCCCGTGCGCATCAAGGGGTACGGCTGGAGCCCGGCTGCGACGCGCTGGGTGACGCGGGGAGGGGTGAAGGATGGCTGGTGTGGGTGCCAGGCAGAGCAGGCTGGGGCAGGCCTGCTCTCAGGAGCTGCCACCCATGTCCAGCCTGGAATGACGGAGGGGCAGGAGTGCCCTGGGTGCTGCCTTCCCCCCTCGACCTCTCCAGGGGCTGCTTGTAGGAAATGGAGCTACTGCCCTCTGACAGCACTGACGGCAGCGGGATAAAACCGTATCCCTTTCCTAAGTGTTCCTTACTTGTCCTGAAAAAGCCCTGTGAGGTGAGTGGAGCCAGGGGAAAGATAGCTGGTGCGCCAAAGAGACACAGAGAGGGGACAACGGCGAGGGATCATTCCCTTAAAGCTAAAATGACCCGTGGCGGGGCTTACAGCCAGCGGGGTGAGCTGGCAGAGCAGCAGGAAGCCTGTACGCGAAAGGCAGTGACACATGGAGTGAGGTTGAGGGAGCAGCAGGAAAGAAAAGCGAAATATTTCACTTTCTCTGAAATCCCAGCCCAGACAACTGGGAGTGCAAGTAGGCGTGTTTGCTCAGCCGCAGAACGCGCTGCACGAGCTGCTAACCGGGCCCACGTTCAGAGTGCCGTCTGCATGCACGTGTTCATGGCACGGAGGTGGCAACTACAGGGCTTCCACGCAGCACTCAGGTGACAA